AAAATGACAGCAACTTGTCTGTTCCCCTTCCCCCAATTCCCCAGCACTGTTCCCATCCCCCCAATTGCCCAATAAAAAAAATCTAAAAAAAATAAATAAAAGAATAAAATAAAAAATAAAGATGAGACTCCTGAAACCCTGAGACATCAAGCAACCTGCCCAAAGAGCTGGATTCCAAACCTTTCCATCTTGGAACAGAATCCTTTAGCCTGCCTAGAAGGCAGTACACAGCCCTTTCAAAGTGCTTTTACTTTCACCATTACATGTTCTTCTCTAGACTTGATAAAATATACTTCCATGTTCCAGTCTTTCTTCTTCTATCTTCCTTTCCATCGTCCAACAGAGAAGAGACACCAACTGTCATCATACGTGGATTTTGTACACATGCAATTTTGATCACTCATTGAAGAGTGTGAGCTCTGGGTTTGAACCCTGATCGCTGTGTGATCTTGGCCCAGATGCTGCCCCTCTCTGATCTTTGGTTTACTTGTCTTTAAAACGGGCACAAAATACCAGTCCCTGTAAAGATGAATGGAGTCTCACCCCTGTCCACTGGTCAGAATGGTGCCTAGCAACACGTAGTAAGTGATTCCGGGTCAGCTATTGCTGTTTTGATTATCATTTGACTCTGGAGCTGAAGGAGAATTAACAGCAATGGGAGGGGTGGGGACAGGAGAACACAGGTTCCTCCAGCGGCCCTGCTCTACCCCATAGCCCATCTCAGACATGACCTCTGAGCTGTTCTCGGTGCCATAATTAGACGTGCTTTCCTCCAGCTCTCTGCAGTGTGAGCCTCTCTGATCCTGAAGGGTACATCGACTCCAGTGACTACCCACCGCTGCCCCTCAACAACTTCCTGGAGTGCACGTACAACGTGACCGTCTACACAGGCTATGGGGTGGAGCTCCAGGTAACCACAGAAAGGTGCCCTGAAGTGGCTGCCTCTCCCAGCAGGAAGTCTCTGAAGGGTTGTCTGAGTTCAGCTCACTGTTATCATCCTAACTAGTTTGGCTCTCTCTTTGCCCTAGCCAGGGCAATTTAGGCTAGGCTTTGGCAAATAAATAGGAGCTCCCAACTCAGGGAACAGCTGAGATAGCTTGGCACTCATGGAGGGAAGGGGGCATGTTGATAAATTGTGAGTCCTGATACCCAGAAGGAAAGTCCTTTAATACTCTGCTTATCAAACACACACACACACACACACACACACACACACACACACACACACACACTCAGGGAAGCCTCACCTGGCTTTTTGACTTGTACATTTTTGCCTGTAAACTAAGAATGGAAAAGCAGGGTATCATAGTATTCAAATATCTGGGTTCGCAGTCCCAGCATTATCAGTTAAAGCTGCGTGACTTGGGGCAAGGGACTTTGCCTCTCTGAGCCTCAGTTTCCCTATCAGTAGAATAGAGATGATAATGTTACTACTTTATAGCATTTGGGAAAGGAATGCATATGACATTGCACAGAGAGCAGTCAACCAGAACCTCACAGAGAGAGAGAACGCTCGGTGCATGTTACCAGCTATGCTCACCTTAGATCCAGGCCTTGCCCAAATGACCACCCCATCGTTAGAAGTCCTTTTTAAAATGGACTGTGGAGACATGCCTGGCAGTGGTGAACTGTCCAGTTCAGTGTTCTACAGAGGAGAGGAGCAGGGTGAAGCTGGAAAAAGAGGCCAGGACCACGTGGTGGCAGACCCTTCCAGGCCAAGGTTAGAGCTCCAGATATGAGCCTTTTTCTAATGGGTAATAAAGAGTCATCAGGAGTTTCTGAGCAGACTCAGTTGTATGGCCTGAGCTTTACTCTAGGAAGGTTTTTCCGACTTGTACAAAAAAGATCAAACGTAAGCTGCAGAACCTGTGGTCTTTGCAGCCCCCAGAGCTTAGCACAGTACGTGGCACGTAGTAGGTACTTAATATTCATGCAATTAAAATAAGATGGAGAAAAGTTGCAGTCCTTCTGATTCAAGCACTTAATGAACACTTTCCTCCATAGCATGGAGAGACTCACTCTGTGTCTAATACTGTTGGGAGCCCTTTCTCAGGCACAACAGAATTCCTTCATCAAGCACCTATTATGTTCCAGTCAAGCTGTCGACATTGGGGGATATGATGATGTGCCTTAAAGCAGTTCACCATTTTGTAATTGAGACAGGCATGCATAAAAGACATCAGGATGCCATTTGAAAAGGCCTCTAGTAGATGTTTATAGGAGATGCTGTAGAATCACAGTAGAGGGACAGGCAAGCTCCTTGGTAGTCAGAGAAGGTCTCACAGAGGAGGGCAATTTTGGTGAGACTTTGGCCAATGAATAGGAGTTTATCAAAGAGAAAAGAGAGTAGTAATATAGATGGCCTGAAAGAGGGAGGGCTTATAGGGGAGGCCTGCCTTGCTTAGATAAGGGGTAGAAGGGCTGGGATTCCAGGTTCCACTGGGAGAGGCATAAATATCCAAATTGGGCACTAGGAAAGGACTAAAGTCCCCACCCCACCCCCGCTCCATTTGTTCAATGTCCTTGTGTACACCTAACGCATCTCCCTTCTTTCTCCTCCAAGCCGGGAGAGTACCAAGAACATGGTTCTTTGAGGAGTCTCTGGAGTTGGAACCACCATTTAGGAGGACAAGAGCATGGCACCTAGAAATGAGGCCCGCTGCTCCCTCACCAATGCATGCAGAAAGGGGGGAGATGCATTCCGTCATTCTATCATATTTATTAAGCACCTACTGTGTGTCAGACACTATCTTAGGCACTGGGGACACTGAGCAACATGGAAACGTCCCCAGTAGCTCCAGGAGAACTTACCTCAGCTGCCAGCACCCAGAAACCTCCCACAGGACCCAGCTGTAGGGGCTCACAGGTCCTGGCAGTGCCTCTGATCTTCATCTTGGTCTCCCTCTGTCCCCTCAGCCTTTGGGGAGAGGAGAGGAGCCCAGATATTTCCAGGGCTGCGGCTTGGGGCCTGTCTGTCCCATTGACTAGGGGCTGGTTAAGGGGTGCTATGTTGGTAGTGTCTGGGGCTGGTTGGGGGGGCCTGGCTCAAACACAACTGAGTTTCTCTGTCCCCAGGTGAAGAGCGTGAACCTGTCTGAGGGGGAGCTGCTCTCCATTCGTGGAGTAGACGGCCACACCCTGACCATCCTGGCCAACCAGACACTCCTGGTAGAGGGGCAGGTCATCCGAAGCCCCACCAACACTATCTCTGTCTACTTCCGGACCTTCCAGGACGATGGCCTTGGGACCTTCCAGCTGCACTACCAGGGTAGGATCAGGCCAAGGCTGATGGGAGGTAGCTGTGTGCCTCAGTTTCCCTCTGGAGCCAAGGATTCTCAAACTTTTTGTCCCAGGGGTCCCGCTGGCAGCTTGGTAAAACTTAATGAACCTCTTCTCAGGATAATGTTTTAAGAGCTGAAAATAAAATGTATACAATGAAGAAGGAAACCAGGCATATTGAATTACAGTTGTCAAAATATTGTTTTAATCGATCTCATAATCCACATGCTTCTTTATGAACAGATTAAATAACATCTCCAGGCAGTTCCGATAATTACTGTAGTTTCAAAGTAAGGAGAAGCGTAAAAAATATGTCAAGACATCCATTATGACGTGAAAATATCTGTGATTTCTCTTGGCAACAAAGTCACAGGTTCCACGAATATGTTACAGTGTGTTGCCTACATTCATGATTGAAGGAAATACCACAATTCGGTTAAATGTTCATGAAAATAAGCAAGCCCCTTTATCTCCATTCAAGTTCATGGCTCCTGTGTTTGATACATGAATCCCATGAAAGTCCATGGACTTCTGGTAAAGAGCCTCTGTCTCTGTGCATCTTCTACAATCTGTCTTTTTTTTTTTCCATTTTGTCTGTTTTGTTTTTTTTTTTTCATTTTGTTGGGGAACAGCCATGGTCATTGGTTACACATTGCTTTCATGCTACAATGGCATAGCTGACTCTTTCAAGGAGGGTGCAGCTCCCAGTGACCCAAGCGGGGATCGAACTGGCAACCTTAGTGTTATCAGCACCACGCTCTAACCAACTGAGCTAACCGGTCACCCCCCACCCCCACCCTCATTTTATCTGTTTTTAAAGTCTCTGTTCTTTTGCTTTCTGTTCACATCTCTCTTCCTTCGTTTCTCCTTCCTTCACTTTACTTCCCTTCTTTGTTGTTCCCTTTATTTTTTCCTTTCCTCTTGCTGTCTCTTCATTGCCACCCTCCATTCTCGCTCCTTCTCCCTCTGTCTATCTCCCCGCCACACACACCTCATTGGGATCGCATTTTCCCAGCTCCTGGGCAGTTCCCACAACCTCACATCCCTTCCTTTCACCAGGGGCTCCCCCTGGAGATTGCCAACTACCTGAACGGAACGTGGAGTCGTTAGCCATCCACCTGGGTATTGGGGATGATCCACCTTTGTATTAAATTGACCAAACATCTGCAAAACAATGTATCTTTCACTTCTCCCTGGATGTTTTGGAAACAAGTAGATGACTGTATATGGGAGCATCTATTTCATCACAGCTTTTCAATATTGACACTCCCCTCTGTTGTCTTAATTCATTAAAAATGGGGGGGAAAATAGCTTGTTGAGCCATGAACTTGAATTTTTTCCTCCTTAGTGAGTACTGGGAATACAAATATTCCGCACTGCAGGAGAGATCAGACCATAATCCGTAATGGAGCTAAGGTGGATTTAGCATCCTGTTATGGAAACTGAGGAGCTTAATGGGACCACACATGCCCTTCTGCTGCCCCCATGTAGTGAGTGCTGATTGCCAGACATTGGATTAAGGAGGCCCTTCCTTGGCACTCCCCGTGTCATCCTTACCACGGCCCATGAGGAAGGAGCAGTTTCCACTGGAACGATGAGGGGGGAGTGAAGTTCCGGGCCCTGTGTCACTTTCTCAAGGTCATGCATTTGCTCAGGGATGGAGTAAGGATGGAAATCCACATTGATCTCTCTCCAGAGCCCGACCCCTTCCCTACCCGCATAACTGTTTTTCAAATCCTCTGGCATTTCCCGAAGAGCTGGTTATTCTCATTCTGGTCCAAGAGTCTGCATTTTTAACAAACACCTGCGTGCAGGTGGGACCACCCTACCTGGGTGATATTGCCCCTTTTCTATGCCCAAGGAGAAGGCCATTCTAGGTCCATGTGGAAAGAGGCCCCAGTGAGATTTGGGAACTCATTTTTCACCCCAAACCTGCTGTCTCTGGTTAGGCAAGGTTGGGAGCTTTGAGCCTAGAAAAAAGTGCTCACCTGGCAGTCTCCGCATCATATGACCAACGAGAGTCACAAAAATACCCTGCCCCAGCACTCTGGAGTCCCCGGGGGGGGCCTCGTCTTTTCTACTCAGCACAAATTTACTCCCAGGATGTGGGTCACGTCCTTTATCTCCCTGCTCAGTGGGACTGACTGTCTACCTTTGCATTTCTTCCCAGCCTTCATGCTCAGCTGCAGCTTTCCTCGCCGGCCCGACTACGGGGATGTCACAGTGATGGACCTGCACTCGGGCGGGGTAGCCCACTTCCATTGCCACCTAGGCTACGAGCTCCAGGGTGCCAAGACGCTGACGTGCATCAACGCCTCTAAGCCCCACTGGAGCAGCCGGGAACCCATCTGCTCAGGTGCGCGCCAGCCTCAGCCAGGCCGGACACGGAGGGTCCACTAGGAGCGGGGAGACCAACCCCCAGAACATTAAGACTGACCTTAGGGATAGGCTCTCAGCCCAGGAGAAGAGACTGCTCCAAATGTAGATGATGGCTGCCACTTACATTTTTATGTCATAAAGTACATGTATCATAAAATTGACTATTAGGGACACTTTTCACAATATTGCGTAACCATCACCAGTATGTAGATCCAAAACAATTTCATCACTTCAGAAAGGAAACCCTGTACCCATCAGCCATCACTCCTCACTCTTCCCTTCTCCTCAACCCTTAGCTACCACCATTATGCTTTCTGTCTCTATGAATTTGCCTAGTCTGGACATTTCAGATGAATGGTATCGTATAACACGTGATCTTTTGTGACTGGCTTCTTTCACTTAACATATTGTTTTCAAGATTCATCCATATCATAGCATGCTTCAGAACTTCATTCCTTTTTTTTTTTTTAAAGATTTTTACTGGGGAATTGGGGGGATGGGAACAGTGCTGGGGAATTGGGGGAAAGGGAACAGACAAGTTGCTGTCGTTTTGGTCTTCAGTCTAGTTGTGGAGGACGTTGCTTCACTGGCCCAAGCTGGCACCATCATTGCGCTTTTCCCGGGCAAGGCAGATCAGTCGCCGGCTTCTGGACGGCCGCTCACTGCAGCTACTGGCCGCTCACGCTGGCTGCTGGCTACACACGGTAGCCCATGGCAACCCACTGCAGCAGGGGCTGCAGCCTACGCCGTCTCCAGAGACTCACGGCAGCCCAGCTCCAGATCGAGCTGTTGTTCAGCATCTTAGCTGTAGAGGGCAGTGTCACTGGCCCTCACATGTGGGATCCGAACCGGGGCCCTCTGGCGTCCCAAGCCAGTTCTTAACCATCGCGCCACTCGGCCGGCCCAGAACTTCATTCCTTTTTATGGCTGGATAATATTCCATTGTGTAGATAGACCACATTTTATCTGTTTATTCATTGCTGGACATTTCAGTTGTTTCCACTTTTTGGCTATCGTGAATAATGTTGCTATGAACATTTGTGTACAAGTTTTTGTGTGGGCATATATTTTCATTTCTTTTGTGGGTATACCCAGAAGTGGAATTGCTGTGTCATTTGGTAATTCTATGTTTAGCTTTTCAAGGAACAATCAAACTATTTTTTACGGTGGCTGCACCATTTTACTTTCCCACCAGCCATGTTCAAGAGTACCAATTTCTCCGCAACCTCAGTAGCACTTGTTATTTTCCACGTTTTCTTTTTATTATTGTAGCCACCCTCGTGGGTGTGAAGGTCTCTCACTGTGATTTTGAGTTGCATTTCCCTGATAGCTAATAATATTAAGCATCGTTTCATGTGCTAGTTGGCCATTTGTATATCTTCTAGGAGAAATGTCTATTCAAGTCCTTTGCCTATTTTTTATTTGTTTTTTTGTCTTGTTATTGTTGAGTTGTAAGAGTTCTTCATATATTATGGCTACTAGACCTTTATCAGATATATGACCTGCCAATATTTTCTCCCATTCTGTGGGTTGTTTTTCTCTTCTTGATAGTTTCCTTTGAGGCAAAAGAAAGTTTTAAATTTTGACAAAGTCTAATGTATCTAGCTTTTCTTTTGTTGCTTGTGCTTTTGGTGTGGTGGCTGCCATATTTTGACCCCAGTCAGTATGCACTGAGTACCATGCCAGGGCTGCAGTACATCTTCACCGCAATCCTACATGGTGAACCATTATCTCCATTTTACAGATGAGAAAGCCGAGGCTCATGGAGGTGTATGTAGGTCCTGGCCCAAAGTCATCAGATAAAAAGTGAACTGAATTCAGACCCTTGCTTTCTCTTACTACACCTTCACTAGTTCAAAATGCGGTCTGCAGACCAGGAAGTTTGTTAGAAATGCAGGATCCTGAGCCTCACATCAGAGCAACTGAATCAACACCTACATTTAACACAACCTTTGATTGATTCATGTGCACGTTATAAATTGAGACGCACTGGGCAATACCATACTGTCCCTGCTCCAGTGAGCAAATCCTTGAACCATCCTCAGCCATCAAGACAGCAAAACCCTATTAGATTCTCAAAAGTCCTGATGTGACCAGGAGAGGATAGGCTGCCCATATTAACTGAATGCCTTCTATGGGTCAGGCCACGAGCCATGTACAAGGAGAGTACTGGGGACAATAGACATAATTCCTGCCCTCCAGGCATTCATAATCAGTGGAATCTAAAAAGCAAATGAGAGCTGATGAGAAATTCTGAGGTTTAATTCTCGCAGCATTGTTCCCCCAAGGCCCTTCAGAATTTTTCTTCTTTTCTTTTTTACAAAGAAAAAAAGCACAAAAAAACCCTGAAACCATAGGGCAGTTGGTCTCCACACCTCTCTCACGTTAATTCTTATCTATGTGTGAAATCAGGAAGGAATTAAGCCTCAATTTGTGCTAAGAAAGATGGATGGCGAGCCACAGCTGGCAAATTAAAACCAAAAGAGCCATCAGTCGGCTTAATAAGGCAAGAAAGGGGAGCAAAAAGGCAGCAAATGCGGGGCAGCTTGGGGAGGACAGATGGCCAGTGCCCACACCGTGGACAGCGTCCTCCATCTCCTCGGCTCCTGAGCCACAAGGCAATAATGATGGCTATGTTTTGAATACCTACTCTGTGCCAGGGACTGCGCCTAGCCCTCTACATGCCTCATGTTATTGGTTTCTCACCACAGTCCTCTAAGAAGGGTGGAATTTTTGTCGCCATTTTACAGTGAACTCGGGGTTCAGAGAGCTTCAGTGACTTGTCCTAGCTCCACAGAAGACACGTGGGGCAGGCCAATTTTGACCTTCAACTTAGGACGGGAAGGCAGTCTGGAGAGAGAGAGAGAGAGAGAGAGAGAGAGAGAGAGAGAGAGAGAGAGAGAGCTTGCACACAGGCCACCCACTTGGTTCTCCGTGCGTGGTCCTGAAAGAAGTACAGGGCTTCTTGGCAATGTCTTCACTGTGGGTCACAGCAGGGTCCACAGCAAAGAGAGCCATTGACCTTTCTGTCCTACTGCAAGTCCTCATCAGTTGTGCAGTCTTTCAACAAACATTTGATGAAAATCAAATAGCTCCTAAGAACAAGAATAAGACTACCCACCTCTTCACACTTGTGTAACTCTTCCCAGTTCACAAATCACTTTTTAATATGTATTAGATTTGTATGACAAAAGTAGTACATGGTTGTGGTAAAAAAAAAATTTTCAAGACACACAAAAAAAGGTAGGAGTAGATAATTTTATATTCACGGTCTCAATTGATCCTTGCATATACAGTAGTTCATTGAAATAGGTATGGCAGACCATTTTCTAACTTTTTTCCACCTAAAATATGATAAGCATTTTCCTATATTCTCAAGTATTTTTAAAAATATTTTATTGGGTAATTGGGGGAGGGGGACAGTGTTGGGGAATCGGGGAAGGGGAACAGACAAGTTGCTGTCCTTTTGTTCACCATCTTAGCTGTAGAGGGCGCAGCATCACTGACCCTAATGTGGGATCCGAACCAGGGCCCTGCTGCTCAGAGCTGGCGTCCCAAACCAACTCTTAACCAATGCGCCACTCGGCCAGTCTTCAAGTATTTTTTGAGAACAGGGTTTTAAAAAACTATATAAGTGAAATGTATTTATTTCACCAAGCATCTGTGAGTGAACATTCATTTTGTTTCTCATTTTTCACTCATAGAAACAACCTAGCAGTGAACATCCTCATTCATAATATTTTTTATGTGAAAAATCTCTAAATCTTTTCCTAGGATAAATTCCCAGGACCTTAATTACTAGGTCAAAGTGTTTCTAGATTTTTCACCAAGTTGTTCTTTTGAAAGGTCACAGCAGTTTGCATTCTAACCAGTCCTGAAAACAGCCTCCAGATTATTGTCACTTTTTGTCTTGACCAATTTAGGTGAATGAAAACAGAATATAGTTTAGATTTGCATTTCTTCGATTATTAGTGGGGCTGAAGTTTGAGTGCTTACTAAGTACTAAAAGGATATTTTTTTCTTTTGTAACTGCCTACTTATGTCTGTCTTGATTACAATTTTATAACTAAGAATCAGGGCACATCCAGCACCATGAAAGCATCCTTAAATCACAGTCACTCTCTACCATGAAACACACATGATCATGGTTATAATCATGGAATAAGATATCTTATCAAATATGATGAACCCCACCAAGGAGACAGGGATTTTCCATGGTCTCCATCTTCCCATCCTGTTTCCTCACACAAAAGGACAGGGGTGGGGATCGGGGGAGGTGGTCGAAACACTCACTTTCTCTCTCTCCTCTCCTCTCCTCCCCTCTCCTCTCCTCTCCTCTCACTGCCCACTCACCCCTACCTTCTGACCCCAGCCCCTTGTGGAGGGGCTGTGCACAATGCCACCATCGGCCGCGTCCTCTCCCCAAGTTACCCTGGAAACACCAATGGGAGTCAGTTCTGTGTGTGGACGATCCAAGCTCCAGAGGGTCAGAAGCTGCATCTGCACTTTGAGAGGCTGTCGCTGCACGAGAAGGACAGGTAAACCTCTGAGGGTCCCCAGCCAGCTTCGTTCCCTCCCGGAGTGTTAGAATGTGGCTAGGGATTTGGAGTCTTGAAATGGCTGAAATTCTGGCTCATGGAAGTCAAGGAAGAGGTGGGGACGGTGGCAAAACCATCAGCTTCGATCTCATCCTTTTGGGGGTAAGGAAGCTAGGGCATACAGAGGGAAAGGGACTTGCCTTAGGTCACACAGCAGGGTAGAGGCAAAAGGGGAATCAGGTCCCCCACATCGCACTGCCTCATTCTCTCTCTTGCACATCCCTTTTTGCAGCTGAACAAAGAAGGAGTGTTGATTTAGCACCTGCCCTGTGCACAGTCACGTACTAGGCTTCATGGAGAACTGGAGAAAAGTAGAGAACGTTAGTTCCTGATGTGATAAGAAGCTGACATGGAAAAAACTAGGTTTACCCACATGAACTAACTAGGGAAAAGTGATCTAAACCTTGGAAAGAGAGAGGATAAGGGAACCCAAAAATACAGTAGGAGTAGTATCCCAAGCTGGGAAAATGGGAGGGGAAGAGAACAAAGATGTAGAGGGAAGAGTTGGCAAGTCTGTTGGGGGGGGGGGCGGGGCTGTGATAGGGGTTCTCTGGAAGAGAAGGAAATAAAGCCATGAAGGTAAATTGGGGTCATACATTAAAGGGCTTTGAGTGCCAGGCTGCTTTTATAGGCTATAGAGAGCCATGGAAGAATTCTGAGTAGAGGAGAGAAATGAAGAAAGGCTTTTAAGATTTTCCCCAAAACAAAGTCTATCTAAATGCCAGTCCCATAATATGCAGCATAAAAGGTGGGTACTCTGGTCAAACATGTTTGGGAGACACCAGATAACCAACCCCTGTCTTGGGAGGGACTAACGTACATTAGCCAGCAAGGCACTGACAAGTCCTACTGGCAAAGTGTTTCATTTTTATTTAACCCAGCTTTTCCTAAACGCATTTGACCACAGACCAACGGTATGTGGATCTGAGACATTTTATAGAACATAGCTAGAATATTGCTATTTGGGGGAAGATTAACTACAGAGATTTTGAGATCTCGAGGGATCTTTTTAGCCAAAGTCTTCAGTTCTTTGAAAAAGGAGTCCTGGGACATGACCCCCAAGACACAACAGAGTCAGCAGGGATTAGAAGACTGTGAAGAGGTCCCTCCTCACTCTTGGGATAACCCCTCACTCCTCATTCCAGACACAGTGGACACATGGCAACATGAATAAACGCTAACATTTATGCATTTTGGTGACATTAGAAATTCATTTGGGCAACTTAATATAAAGCCTTTTTGTGGGTCATGGTTAAAAAGTTCAAAGGATTTAAAACGCCTGTTTATGACTCCATAAAAATAACTGACCGAATTTGTATACTGTTTTCGTCTCTACTTTTACATAATTTCTTTAAAAACACCAAAACTGGAACCAAATTTCAAATGGTTTTAATTAATGTGAATACCAACACTTTGTCTAACACATTTTATTTTTCAGGGCCATCCAGGTCACAGTCTCAAAGCCCACCTATAAGATAGGTCAGAAAGACATTAGGATCCTTCCTCTCATAGGTGTGGAAATTGAGGCCCAAGATGTGTTGAGATGTGTGTGCACTCATTTGGTGGGGAATTGGAAAGTGGAAATCAGGATTCCTGGTTCCCCGCACAGAGCTCTCAGAGAATGACAATCAGAAACAGAGCCTGTTAGGGGTCAGATGTTTCATAAAGCTGACTTGTATACCTATTGTGCCTGGGCAATTTATATACCCATGGTCTCTAATCCCCACACTGTCATGGAGGTGGGATTGTGTGCATGTTACAGATAAAGAAACAGAGGTTCAGTGAGGTGACGTGCCCTTGTCCAAAGTCACACAGCTCAGAAGGTACAGAGTCAGGACTCTGAATGTTTGACTATATATACCACTGTTTCAGAAATGATGTCAGCCCATTAATCTCAACAGTTCAATAAGTAATAATGATCAATATCAAGTAATTCGCCTGGTTTATTACACTGTCCACATCACTTTCCCTACAACCCCAGAAGCAATCCACAAGTCTAGGACAAGCATTCTAAAGAAAGGAAACAGGGACTAGAAGGTAAAGCAAGTCACCTGGGCAAGGAAGGGGCTAAACTAGGATTTGGGTGTGGAAATGCAGCGCTCTGCTCACTGCGCACCCCTCTGGCTGCTGTGTGGCAGTGGCCCAGGAAAGCCTCTTGTTGGTCCTCCTCCTTTTCCCACTGCCAGGATGATGGTCTACAGTGGGCTGACCAACAAGTCCGCTCTTCTCTATGACTCCCTTCAAACCGAGAGCGTCCCCTTCGAGGGTCTGCTGAGCGAAGGCAACAGCATCCGCATCGAGTTCGCATCTGACCAGGCCCAGGCAGCCTCAGCCTTCAACATCCGGTTCGAGGGTGAGTGTCTCCTGGGGCGATGGTGTGGGAGCAGGGGGAGCATGGCAGGATGGGGGCTGGGTCCTGGGAGGTAGAAATCTGGCTGGCCAAGGTGGAGGGAGGCCTAATGGCCAGACTGACCCTTGGATTTTCAAAAGCAGACTTAGCTTTACTAATAACTATGCCTACCATTTACTGAGCACTTACTATATGCCCAGTGTCTCGTGTGCAGTGTGCATCTGATGCTCACTGCACTGCAATGTGAGAGCCGTTATTATCTTTTCGATGAGTAAACTGAGGTTACGGAATTGGGGTGATTTGTCCAAAGCCACCAGTTAGAAACCATAGAGCTAAGACTTCTGTCCAGCTTGAATGTGGACCCTTAAGCTCTGCTCTACTCAGTGAGAGCTTCCTCCAAGAAGCATTAGTAAGGGCCTCTTCTGCTCAGCCCTGACCCTTTAAGAAAGGGTGCTCTTGGGTATTGCATGTCCCTTTGGGGGACTTTCAGTGCTGTCTTCCTTACATTGGTCTTTCTCTTACACAAACTTATGGTTTCAAGTGTCAGAAATCAACACTCTTACTTATGGGACCTGGGAAGGGTCCTTATGGGATAATAAAAGGAATTGAAACACAAAAACTCTGCAGGGTTTGGGAAGGCAGGAATCCCTAGTCCCATTTTAAATATGAAAAAAAGAAATGAGACCCCAAGAAGCCAAATGAATGGTCCAAGGGCCCTCAGCTGGTCACCTATAACCAGATCACAGTGTCTGGGTCCTGTTTTCCTTGGAACTCCCCTGGTCATCAAGAAGGGACCCCTCCTCTGAGACACAGCACTGTGAGTGGTGCCTGGCTCATCTGGGCTGCTTCCTCTCTTTTGAATACCCACCCCCAGCCTTTGAGAAAGGCCACTGCTACGAGCCCTACATTCAGAATGGGAACTTCACCACTTCTGACCTAACCTATAACATCGGGACCATTGTGGAGTTCACCTGCGACCCCGGCCACTCTCTGGAGCAGGGCCCGGCCATCATTGAGTGCATCAACGTGCGGGACCCATACTGGAATGACACCGAGCCCCTGTGCAGAGGTGAGTGGCCCAGCTGCTCCCCTCCCACAGTGCCCCAGGGACCTCCATCCCCTCAGATGAAAAGGCCGCGGCCCCAGTTTAGAGGCATGTCACCAGTGTACATACCGAATTTAGCATTTGCTCTCACTATCCTTTGGGTCAGGTTTGCTGCTTGTCCTTGAGAAAATTACAACATCGATCAATTTTAAAAGGTGCCCCTTCCTCCAAGCACAGGTCTCATAATGCACAGCTTCATGAAAAGATTTCTGCATAAGGCTTAGCTCCTAGGATCCCCCTCTGCTGTGCATTCTTGCACAACCCACCCAACAACTCAGGGCTGTCCTGAGCCTGATTAATAATAATAATAATAATCATCATCATCATTAATAAAAGTGCAAAAACTGTGTCGCAAGCACTCTGCCAAAGGTGATATGTGCACATTATTTGATTTCATCCTTGCTACAGCCCTTACTATTAACCCCATTTATAGATGAGGAAACTGAAGCTGTGAAGTGACACGCCTCAGAACACAATCAGGGTAATTGGCAGAGGATGGGATGGAACTCAGGTCTCTCTGTGCTCAGAGTCCTGTGCCCTGAGTCCCTCTGGACAGGGTTGGCTTTGTAGAACCCTCATCTGCATGGGCCCCCAGTGCCCTGCCCTCCCCCCTTTCCCCATATTCAAGGCCACTGAGCCACCCCGAGCCTGGAGGCCTGCGGAGCATGGAAGTAATGACGAGAACCTGTGCTCCTGGCAGCCACTGCCTGGATGGTGGTTGGCGTGAAATCACAGACTCGCCGTGGTGAGGGATTGATCTCTGTATTAAATGTGCTGGTTTAACAGAGCGGAATTTATTGGTGCTCTGGCCTCTGCCACATTGAGAACTTTCCAAAGCGGTAAACACAGTGGAATTTAAAGGGCCAGGCACCAGGCGCGGCCACATCTCTACTTCCCGTTCAGAGCCGGGGTCTTTCACAGTTATGTTAACTAAGAATTACTGAGCACGTCCCTTGTGCTGGGCACTGTGCTGCGTCTGACACCCATGAGCTCAATTAAGCTTCAGAATAACCCAATGAAGTCAGCAAAGGTGTTACTCAGCTTTACAGAGAAAGAAAACTGAGGCCCAGGAAGTTACGTGCCTTGTCACAGAGCTTGTTGGTGGCAAAGGCAAGACTAGAACCCAGAGCCACCTGACTCGAGGGTACCATTTCTTAGCCACTGCTCATCCTGCACAAGAGCAGGGCTGTTAAGGGTTCATCAGCACCTTGAACTCTGTCCTTGGTCCTGAAATAACTACAGCTCCACCTTCATCAGCTCTCAGCTAAAGGAGATAGGGGACCAGCCCTAATTTATTCCTCCCAGGTGAAGGTACCTGACCATCATACATGGTGAACCATGACTGTATGACTTCATAGCCCACACTCTGAGTCACTAACCCACATTGGCTTCCTTATAAATAAAGCGTGTCTAGCGTGTCTCTCTGTGTCTCTTACAGCCATGTGTGGTGGGGAGCTCTCTGCCGTGGCTGGGGTGGTGCTCTCTCCAAACTGGCCAGAGCCCTACGTGGAAGGTGAAGATTGTATCTGGAAGATCCACGTAGGGGAGGAGAAACGAATTTTCTTAGATATCCAATTGTGAGTATTTATCAGTGGGGACACTCAACCCAACCAGACTGGGGGAGAAACTGGTCCTCCTTTATTCTTTCAAAGAAAAAAAAAATTCTTTCTTAACATTTCAAAATGTTAAATAAGCATCTACTATGTGTCAGGGGCTGTGCAAAGAACTGGGGTCCCCATGGTGATGGAAACAACATCATACACACAGAGAGAAGGTCCCTATGCTCAGGAAGTTGTGTCTACTAAGAAAGCAGGCCTTCAATGAGGAAATGCACTGATCATTGCATACTGTATCTCTGATAAATGATGTAAGGGGAGGTGCACGGTGCTAGGACATTCTATACTGGGGATTTGATATGAAGAGGATGGTCAGAAAAGCCTTCCCTGGGAATCTCTGATACTAAAGCTCAGAACTAAAGGGTGAGTTGGAGTGAATGCACCCAACAGGAACAGAATATGCAAAGGCCCCTTGGCAAGAGCAAGCACAGCATTTTCAAAGGGCTGAACGGCGCCAGTGCGGCCAGAGGAGGAGGGCAGTGTAACACGGTACTGCAGTCGTTTGTTTCCTATATGTCCCTCTTAACTGCACCAGAAGGTCCTTGCAGTCAGGGCCTGCTCTGATTTATCTCTGCTCCAGGGTCTAACACAGAGCCTGACACACAGCAGGTGATCAGGTAATGATTGCTAAATAAAGAAATGCGGTAGTGAATGGGCTTACTGCATGTGTGGCTGTTTCTTTACTTAGTAGGGTTCCCTGTTAGATGCTCCGTCCTGGACTCCCCCTCACCAATTCCTCAGGGATCAGGGCACTCACAGAGATAAGGAAAACGCTTACTCTGGGCCAGATGCAACAGTGATTGCCCTAAACATGTATATCTTAGGGATTCTCCCACAAAAATACTGTCTGGTAAAGTGACTATCCCATCACCGGGATTAGGACCACCCAGCGAGCAAGTAGCAGAGCTGAAATTTGAATCCAGGCTGTGTGGATGCTCATTCATGCTCTTTCCACGGCCCTGTGTGAAGCTGAGAAGGAAACAGAGATAGATGGTGGTGTCTGGAGAAGCCAAAGAAAGGGCTTCCTGGCAGACCCGGGCACCATGGCTGGCAGGGAATAAGATGCCAAGTGCTGAAGGGCCTCTCTGGGTGCGTCCAGGACCTCTGGGGGTCAGTTCTCCCCTCAAGCCTGTGGTGCAAACCCAATGGCTGGGAAGGTGGACTTGGGAGCTGTCTGGTTCTACAGAGGAGCCTTGCAAGTGAAGAAGGAAGTAAATTGCGAAAATATGAGTGGCTGTCTTTGGAGGCTGTCCCCTAGAGACCATGGAAATGTCCTCAGAGGCTGTTCTAGGACCTCCTGTTCCAGTTGAGTCAAAGATTTACAGACACTGCTCAGCTGCCTGTTGTGGGCTTGGGGCCAGGTCAGCCTGGGTGAGAATTCTGTCTCCTCTGCCTCCCAGCTGTGGAACTTTGGGCTTCTCTCTGGACCTTGTTTTTTCTCACCTGTAATGAGGGTCTCGGAACATTGGTATTTCTGTAGCTGCGGAAGGCAGGTCTTAAGCATCCCTTGCCCATTGCCTCACTCAAGCACTCCTCAATGAGAACTTCCCCCCTTTCTCTTATTCTCATCCCTCTGACTTCTACAGTTTGGGATAAAGTGCTCATTTATTCAAGACATGATTTTTGAGTGTCTGCTATGAACCAAGCACTGTTTTAGGCATGGAAAAGGCTCTGATAGTTGTCCCTTCTGCAGTAAAGTTTATATTGGAGAGGAGTGGATCAAATGATCTCTATTAACTCTGAAAAAATAACTGTACACCTACTGTGTGCAAGCACTAGACTTGGCGCTGGAGGTACAGTTGTGAGAAAAATGGAACAGTCTCTGCATCAGTGTCTAGTGGGCGAGGTGGATGAGAAACTGTATGCAGTGTAATAAGGGAAATGGCAGGAAGGACAGGCAGCTGGGGGAGTCTGAGTAAAATCAAGGAGGGCTTTCTGGAGGAAGTGACTTCTATCTAAACTGGGATGAGAAGGTAGGCAAGTGATGAGAGGAAAGGAAGACAGTCCCAGCAATGAGAACAGCAGTTGCAAAGCCTGGAAATGAGGAAAAGGTGTGGCTCATTTAGTTACTTAAAGGAAGTTTAACATGGCGGTTGGGTAGGGGTTACAGAGGCATAGGGTTGAAAGGTAGCTCTGGGATCTTCTCAGCTGAAGTTTCAAATAGAAAACTTCATTCTAAAACAGCTTCTTCTAGGAAGTCCTTCTGTGATTCTCCATTGCCCTCGTGATTAAATAAATTTATGGTCCTGGTGTATGAGCCCCTCCCAGAAGTTATCGGACAAATCATCTCAGCCTTCAGCCAGGAAAAGGTGCAGTCAGCTCCTGATTTCCTGACTTCTCTTGCAGAAGGTCCCTTCTAACTCCACTCCCCAAGAAATTATCTGTGGTCCCCTCCCTTCTGCTAGATTCAGCCGTCCTCTCCTTGCAATGCACCTCCCAGACAAGTGATCTCACTTCACCAAGATTGGCCCACGTCTCCCTTTGGTGTCAGAGGTCTGGACAAGGAAATGAGAAAATGGAAACCCTGCTTTCATCCCCTGCAGGCATCAAATATTTAATTAACCTTCAGCTTGACACAGAATGGGGTTTTATTTCCACTGTAAAGCATGCAATGGGGCAGCCGATGCAACCTGGAGCAATTAAAGCAGAGACCCTTCCCCAAAGCCAGGTCACCATTGACATTAGCATCAGGAAGAGGGGAGACTTTCTCTCTTCTGGTCATCTCAGTGCCCTAGATGTGAGTGTTGACTGGAAGAGAGGGCCCCTGACTTCCCTCCTCAGCGCCCTGACAATGATCCCTGAGCAACCCTGGAGCCATCATCATTCCTTCTCGGCAAAATGATGGGTTGCCTTGAGCTGAGAGGATGCAAACTCAAACTCTTACAGGGAGCTGGTGTTGTCCATTCTATCAGCCGCACAGGCAAGAAAGATTTGGAGTTACTCTACAGCAGTGGAAAGCTGATAAAGGTTCAATCACTGGCTTTCTTGGCAAGTGGGTGGGTGGGGAGCAACGCCCTGATGGGTAGCATTTGCCAGTTTCTATGGTTTCAATACTCCCATCATGGCTCTCCCAACATAATGCCAACAGGCTTGCCAAATGCCTGGACCGTTAACAATCAGCTCACGGGACCCATATGAGCCTCCAGTTCCAGCACACTCGCTGTGAACTGGATTCTTCTCTCCCTCTCACACCCTGTACCATTGTCCTCTGTACATCCTGGTGATTCTACTCAAGAGTCAACATATGCCCAGAGTTGTCTAAGCACCTCTGACACCTCTATACTACCACCATGGTCCAAGTCACCACCCACTCATCCCAGGATTATTGCAGCAGCCTTCTCACTTTTGTCCCCTTTGGGGCTATTTTTAACCCAGCACCCTGCATGATCCTGTGAAAACCTAAGGCAGGTCAATCTCATGCTCTGCTCAAAACCCTGCAATAGCTTCACATTCTATCCAGAGAAAAAGCCAAAGTTCTTACAGAAGATCCCCTGTGTTCTGGCCCTGGGTACGTCTCCTATTTCGCTTCTTTCCACTCTTCTCCTTGGTCTCTCCATTTGGCCACAATGGTCTCCTTGCTGTTCCACAAACGTACCTCAGGGCCTTTGCACTGGCTCTTCCCCATCTCCACCACCACCAGAATGCTCTGCACTTAATATCCACGTATCTCTGCTCACAGATTCCTGCAGGCCTCTGCTCACAGATGACTTTCTCTGAGATGCTCCCCAACCCCCTCTCTAAATTAGCACCCCTATCACTCGTAATACCCTTACCTTGCTTCACTGTCCCCATAGCACTCACCACAACCCAGCATACCACACTTTTTGTTGTACTTGTTGAAGTATTTCAACCCCTGCTTTCTCCACTTAGAAAGTCACCTCCATGAAAACAGAGGGTGGTTTGTTTGTTTTTTATTGTTTGATTCACTGCTGTAATCCCCATATGTAGGTCAGTGCCTGGCCCATGGTAAGTGCTCAATAAATAAGAGTCAATGAAATAAAGGCAACTTGTTGTGGTCATATGGCCATGAAGTTTCAAAGCCAGAATGTTCATTCAAATTTATACCCAGCTGGCCATGATGCACAAGGGAGACGTGGGGGGTGGGGGTGCGGAGGGGAGTCAGAAAGATATGGGAAGAGCCTCTGAGAATATGACTTCCATTTATCAATCAACCCACATTTATTACATGGCAAGCAACCTGGTTAAGAAATCACTTTTTGGCTAAAAATTATCAAACAAAGCAACAGTAGTGGGAAGATCCCCAAGAGGTTTCATACAGTGATAATATCAAAGGGTTTCCCATCACAGGCTTAGAAGCAGACTCTAGAGTGGGGAGACTCCAGAGGTTCCCCCAACCCAATGATGCTCAAATGCACTGGTAGAGTTTGGGGACCAAGTGGGATGGGGTTTGGGGAGGCCCTGTTGCTCTTCTGAGTAATCTGGGCACCAGATGCTAAGCCGAGGTGAAGGTGATGGTGGGACTACAGACAGGCTCCCAGATGGGGCTAGTGAGGAGTGTATTGTGCCCCCTCCTCCACCAGGGCAGCTCCTGCTTCCTCTATGGGGCACCCAGCCAACATCATCCCAGGGCCTTCGGATGTGAAGTGACATCAAAATCAATTCAGTCCAGTTTCAATCACCACGGACATGTTGTGAAGACTGTAATTTTTGTCACTGAGCAAGTTCAATTTGCTCCCACACTCATTGATTGAGCGTCCACTGTGAACAAGGCGCCGGCTGGGCTCTGGCAGTGAACAAGACAGACGCAGCCCTGCCTTCCGGGAACCCACACTGTCAGCTGACATGGCACAAGCAAGAGGAAACACAGGGCCTCTCAGCGCCTGGAATCGGGGAGGAGAGCCTGGTATAGGACATGGAGAAAAAGCTTTCCTGAGAAAGCGACATCTAAGCCAAGGGTTCTCAACTGGGGGTGATTTTGTCAAGTGTCCTAGGGGACACCT